ATGTTGAGCTAGACAAGAAGTTGCCACAAGGTATGTATGTGGCAGTCAAACTACATTAGTAATAAAAATAACTACTGTATTCTTTCATGTACCACACCTCCAAATAAGTCTTTTTTCATAAGCTGGAATGAAAAAAAAACAAGTTTTCCCCCTGAAAATATATTTTTACGGGGAGAATACAGGCAGCAGCTACAGGGGGGGATGGACCTGTAGCTGCTTTGTTAACCCCCCCGCTAGCCTCTGGGGCTAGCAGGTTGCAGCAGACACTGTGGGCTGCTCACCCAGTTTGGGAGGAGTGGCCAGGTAACTCAGCTGTAGCAAGACTGTGCTTTCAGTTTACTTAATGGGTACCCCCACCTGCCAGCCCAGCTTTGGAAGAGGAACTCAGCCCAGCTCTGGCAAGATCAGGCCCTTGTCTCCTAGACAGCAAGACTGGAAGAGGAATTGCAAAAGGGTACAACTGCAGCACTGGATCTGCCCTGACCACATTTCTTCACATATGACATGCACAATTTCCAGTATCTACTTTTCAGAAAGAAAGGTATATGTGGTATGCTGGTAAGTACGGTACCTGAGTAACACGAGTAACAGAAAAGAACTCTAAAAGGTGCATATCTTGATAAGTGTTCAGAAATGTAATAGTGTTACCTCTATTTCACTGCATAATTATATTATTGTAAAATAAAATGCAAATACAGAATTTCACTGTAATACCAGAACAAATCTACACATATGTATGTACATTAGAGCCACATGAAATATTGAGTTTTTCTTGTGTGTGAAATTCTGAGATGTTGAAATTTCTTTTTGTGCTGAATCCAAATAAAACCATTATTTTCAAGTTTTTCCATGATATAAATTCTCATTTTTTGAAAATGTCCCTGCAAAAGGTAAAATCTCAGTTCAAATCAAAGTAAATTTTAAAACAAAAATTATGGTTTAATTTTAATATCTTTGTTATTCTGATATAGTGACCAATCTTTCATAAGCACATTTATCAAAGTTGATACAATTTTCATTTTCCAATGAAAAACTTTTTGACAAAAAAGTGTATAACTTTCTCTAAAGTAAACAACTCCATAAAATCATTTAACATGAAATTTAATCGCAATTTTGCTTAGCTGCTTGTGAAAATTGGCTTTATACTTGCTTGTAACTCTGTTCATTCGGCTTGATGTGTTTTTAATTAATTATAATTCCATACACCTTGCTCAACTCTCTTCCATATACACACATAATTGGGAGTCCAGTGCCTAACAGAAACAATTTGTTTGGTTACTTATGTTAAGCCGATATAAATCAAACTTTTTAGAGGATCATAGGAAAGCAGGGGTGGAAGGGACCTCATAAGATCATCTAATACAGCCCTTGCTCAAGGCAGGATCATCTCTTACTAAATCATCCCAGCCACAGCCGAGTCTGTCTTAGCTATGTCTCTAATGTAATCTTAGCTATAGTCTTTAACACTAATGAAATCTATATCAGAGTGTTCATGTGTATTATGTATAAAAATAACTGCAGTTCAGATTAAAAGGCATGTAATACAACACCAAGGCACATATTATCTGCGTTGTATTATAGATCTTGCATCTAAAGGTAAAGATGTACTAATTTTTCATCTCAAAGTTTCCATTAGGAGTAATAAATTGATATACAAAAATTGATACACTGTTTCCTTTCCCCCCCAATATTTATTTGTATTGATGTAGTGCCAAGGAGCCCTAGTCATGCACAGGATCTTATGGTCTTAGATGGTAAATAGGCTCAGGGGGAAAGAGAGAGAGAGAGAGAGAGAGAGAGAGATTGTCATAGTCCTACGAGCTTTACGTATAAAACAAGACACAACAGATGATATTAACAAAGTGGACACCTTCAACTGAGGAAAGCCAAAGGTAACAAAAAAAATCTTGTTTTCAGACAGCATTAATTTCTGATGTATACATGGACAAAAGTATAAATAATCAGGAAGCAGTTAAGATTCCTAGAATGGTATATATATTTCAAGTAAACATTTTATTTCAACATATCACTTTCATGACAATAAAAGCTGATTATAGAGCTAGAACTCTGGAAAAAAAGAATAAAATGTCATGGGGCAATTCCTCACTAGTTATAAATGGATACAACCTCACTGAAGTCATTGAAGCTGTATACATCTACAGTACGTCAGGTGAGTCACTCCCTCACAGAGGTAGTCAATCAGCTGAGAACATCTCAACATGGTGCCTCCCAGCAGGTGTTTATATTCAAATATGAAATTTCATTTGTTTTGTTCTCAGTCTTAAATTACCATGTCCTTGTTCTTCAAAGAGAAGAAAAATGACTCTAAGCTTGAGAACCCAGAGGGACAATAAGGCCATCAATTAAAATGGGATTAAGCTTTTATTTTCACTGTATCAGCTGAAACACCAAGTTTCATTTTCCTTCAGTCTAGAGGCATTTCTGAGTATTAAGTTTTCAGAACACCATGCTGAGCAAAAGGCATTCAGTTTTTCTACTATTTGGATGGATGCATTTACTTGTCCGCTGACAAAAAAAGATTCAAAACTGTAGCAAATGCAATAAAAACAAATTCTGAAATGATGCTAGTTTCCTCTCCTGACACTTCAGAAAAACAAAAATGTTTCAATATTTTTTTAGAACTTAATTCCAAAGTTATTCTTTTTCTAAAGGAAATAAATGACTTTTTATTGCCCTATACAATATTGCTGGTATAGAATGTCATTAATAGTGCTCCCAATTTATGCCTTCCACAGTGTTCACAATAGTCAACTTTTAAACAGTGGTTAATAGTTACGTTATACTCAGACAACATATGAATTGATGTCTAGTGGATATTCTGATTTTCTACAGAGAGTTAAAAAAATAAACAACATTTCTATTTTTCACAACAGTGAGAATCTGGAAGCTTTTCCAGACAGTCCAAGTTCATGACATCATTGCCTTCTTAGTTTTTCTTTTATCCCTCCAAATCAGTAGTTCTCAACTTTTTTTGCCTCAACCCCTCCATAACTTTTCTGAATGTCTCCCCAGCTGAGAATCACTGAGCTAGAATCTAAATTCAGAAAAGATACAAAGGGAGGTCTTGACGCTAAAAAGGTTGAGAACACAGATTTAGCTGGTGCCAGGTAAGGGTGATGGGCACAGGATCTAACACTGCTGTGTGCTGCTCTTTCCACTCTTTGCCCTCTCCCTGCAACCAGTTTGTACCTAAGGAGGTAAGGGAAGCCCTCATCACCAAAGCTACTCCTTCAGGATTTTGTATACTGATGACCATCCCTGCAGCCCTTTCTCACCATCCCTTGTAGTGTCAGAGAAGCAGGGGATGAGCTGGGCTACAAAGCACAGCTGTGGCCCAACAACCACCCATCCATACACCTACAGCAGAGTGTGCTGCTGGGAGCGTAAGGCAACTGGCAGAAGGATTGTCAGGGAGGAGGGGAGGGCAGCAACGGTTGCAGTCTTCAGAGTAGCAGCCACAGGTGTCACTTGGGTAGCTAAGGCAGGTTCAGGGTTTCAGGCAGCAGAAGAGCACTTATGTTCTCTCACAGAGGCTGGGTGGTAGAGCAGCCTTAAAGGAATCTTGCAGCATGAGGGATGCAAATCCCTGCTCTGAATCATTACTTTCTTTGCTACAGGTCAGATTCTGGTAGCATGAAAAGAACCTTAAAGCTCTCCTTATTGGAAAGGTGAGAATTTTCCCAATGTAACAGCACAAGCTCTATACTCCCTGAGCACAGGACATGCAAAGAATATGAGGAGTTGGGTATATATGACATAAGCTCTATTTCAGCAATAAACAGCTGTCAGGGTACATTTCTAACAGTGTTAACTTGGAACAACCCCAAGGCTGCAGTCATTATTCAAAGATGGAGGGTGGAGGCAAAACCCCCTTACTGCTTAAAAGTCAGATGCCTTGTTTTGATTTCTTTCATAAAGCATAGATCTGATCCTGCTTACACCAACTCATACAGCACATTTGTGCTTCTTTGACTCCATTTACTATACCTATACCACTCCTCTTTCTGTGCCATGCATCCTCATGTGCCACTTCCTCAAAAAATATTTCTCCTGGATTTTCCCTGCTACGGTATCCATTTATCTTTTATTACAGGATAAACTCAGTGTTAAAATCTTACAAAGCAAGGCAGAAACAAATGACAAATTTTCTGAATTAAACAATCAAGCCTTTCTTTTCCATCAGTGCCTAATTTAAAAGCCTACTTCCATAGTACTGTCAGTTTGAAGCTAGTAGGTTGCTGCCCTTCTGCTTATGTGGACCCAATCTCATCCAAATTTAAAAAAAGACACAAAACCACAAAATTCAGTGAATCTACTTCACTTCTCTTTACCACAACAATCTATGCATGTATTAGGAACCAATCTTAGACTTTTTCTTTTCATGCTGCCATAAGGGGAATCCCTAGAAAGGCCACATACATTAACCCATATCCAGTCCCTAAAGTGGTAGTTGCTTATGTCCAACCCAGAAACCTCCACAATCTTCATCATGAAGTGTGATGTTTGGCTAATTTATATAGCAGAAGTGCCATCCAACATTCATAAAAGCAGGAACTGACTTATCTCTTGACCTGAAAGCTGGGGTTGATAACAGAGATACCACGTATGAGAGCAGGTTGTTGTGAAGAAAGTTGTTTTGGAACAAGGAAAAAAGAGAGGTAAGAGGAATAATGACATGAAATGAAATGGAAAGAATTGAAACTCACTTATCAACATGCAGACAAAAGGCTTAGACATTAATATCCAGGGCACATATTTTCAAAACACAGCATAGGATTCTTATCTTGGACTGTACAGCTACAAAAATGAGAAAACCATTTAAAAAATGTGTTGTCTCAAGGGTAATTTAAAAACAGTCTTTCCATCTTGCATAAATTTAACTGGATACTGCTAACAGCTCTGTTTATTATAGTTAAGTTATGATATAAAAAAGTAACATAAATATGTATTTGCATTGGGGATTTTTACCAAAAGGATATTTTTTCAGCATGTACAGAGTAGCCAGTCTTGAAGCTCGGAAGTTTGCTCTGACAGATCTGTAAACAGCTTTCCGAAGACCAATGAGATGCTGACTAGGATGTTGTCCAGCTTTATTAAATGGGCAAGCAGCACTGACCCTGTCAAGCAAACTTGAAAAGTAAAATGTGATACAACTGTACAGATGTCCTAAAGAATTTTAAAAAGACAACACATCAATTCTATTTTTATACTCCATTATTTCCAAAAGAAAATAATTTTTAATAATGAGCCAAGAGGTATAAGTTAAGCCATGGTTTACTATGTGAATGATCAATTTATTTAAAAAAAATATATGCAACAATGTCTGAAAACTCAGTAAAGAGCCTGATCCTGTTCCCATTGAAGTTAACGGCAAAATTCCTATGAATATCAACAGTAGATTATCAGGTGTTAGGACATGCTGTAAAGTCAATTAACTCTAATTTGAACATAAATCAGAAGTTCACTGTAGTTTTAAATATTGCACTCATACAATTTAACATGCAAAATATTCCTTAGTTCTAAGAATATTTTTTGCAGAAAGGATATGCTACTACACATTTTTTGTTGAATAAATAATCTTCTCCAATCTTACAACCTAAAACTAATCTTTTCTAGCTTGATAAGTATGTATATATATTTGAGTGGCAGGACAGGGATTTTATCATACAAACAACAGTTGCAGAAGTTCTCGTGGCACTATCATTGCTAGGAATCCCAAGCATGGCACAGTTTCTGAGATGCATGCAATTGCATATACTAGCATATTCTTAAACACATTTGTTCTCAAGATACACACAAGCACATTTTTGTGGAATTACTTCATGTCACATGCTTATGGTGAACACATTGCAGCAGGGCTTTAAACAGGGACGGGCAATTATTTTGGGCGGAGGGCCACTTACCAAGTTTTGGGAAGCTGTCGAGGGCTGCATGGGTAGCCCCACCCCCTGACAGTTGCCCCACCCCCGGTTCCCATATTGGGACCGGAAGTCCGGCCTCCTAGCCCCTGACCTTTGCCATTGGAAGCCCCTCCCCTTGCCCTGGAAGTACTCCTTTTGGGAGGAAAGGTGCTGTGATCTGGAAACTGTGAAAAAAATATAAATGTGTATACACCCACTCACACACACACACACAAAAGTACACACACACACAAAACACATCTACTATAACCTATTTTAATTTTATTTAAAAATATTGCTCTACTGATTTGTGTTTACAAAAAGCGTATCTAGAGGTGGCTGCATCATAGCTTAAAATATAGTCCTACTGTGTGTTTTGTGTGGGCAGCAAAAGGTATAAGTGGCAGTGTGGTTGGGAAGAGTGTGTGCGAGTTTGAGTGTGTGTGCACATGCACACGTGGTGGGGTGTGGGTATGGTGGCTGGGTGTGTGCTGAGAGAGCGAGCTGGGGCTGGGCTGCCAGCTTCATAGTGTGCAGCTCTAACACACTGCATGTGAGCCTCACACGATGCAGACAGGCAGACCCCATGCCCAGGCTCTGTTTCTACAACCCCACCCTGGGTCTCTGCCAGTCCCGGGGCACTTGCACAGGCTCCGTGTTTCCGCCCGCCACCACCTTTCTGCGTTCCCTCCTGCAGGCTTGCCCACTGCTCCTTGCAGCTCCCCACTTCCTGCAGTCCTCCCTGTGGCCCCCATCAGGACCCACTGCTTGCCGCAGCCCTGCTGCAACTCCACTGCCTGCCACAGCCCCACCACTCACCGTGGCTCTGCCATCTGCCGGAACCCCCTGCGGCAATGCTGCCCACTGGGGTCCACTGAGCCTCTGCTGCCCGCCACGTCCCGTTGGGGCCTGGCCACAGCTCTGCCACCCATTGGGGCCCGCCTCCTGCTGTGGCTCTGCTGCCTCCTGGGGCCTGCTGCCTACACACTCTCCATTGGGGCTCAGCTGTGGCTCTGCTGTTTGTCAGGGCCTGCTGCACTGCCTACAGGGGCCTGCCGTGGCTCCACTGCCTACTGGGGCTCCACCACCTACCAGGCCCCACTGCGGCTCTGCTGCCCACTGGCTCCTGCTGCTTGATGGAACCCAGCTACACCTCTGCTACCTGCTGGGGCCCACCACCTGCTACTGTTCCACCACCCACTGCAACCCGCCAACTGCCAGGGCCTGCAACGGTTCTGTTGTCCGCTGTGGCTCCACTGCCTCCTGGGGCCCACTGCAGCCCCACCACTTGCTGGGGCCTGGCCATGGCTCTGCCATCTGTCGGGGCCCACTGTACTGCCTGCGGGGGCCTGTCGTGGCCCCACTGCTTGCCAGGGACCACTGTGGCTCTGCTGCCAACTGTGGCTCCACCACCTGCTGCACACCATGTGGGTCCCGCCACTCCCCATGCTGCTCCCCAGAGCCCCCCTGCCACTGCACCACTCCCTGCAGCCCCCACCGCTCCCCGCAACCACCACTTCCAGCTACTCTTACCTCATTTTCCAATCAGAGGGAGAGGGAACAGCTCCAGGGGCAGGGGCCAGAAGCCGCAGAGGCTTCTGATTGGGGGCTGAGGGCGGGAAGGGGGTGGGGGTTTGGGTAGAGCCGGGCTAGCCTTGTTGCTCAGCCACAGGCTCCCGCTGGTAGCCTGTCATCTTTGACAGGTGGCCACAGGCAGATATAAATTAATTTTCTAAAATTTTCAAAGGCTCTGCAGGCCGGATAGAACAGGCTGGTGGGCTGCATCCGGCCCACCAGCCATAGTTTGCTCACCCCTGGCTTTAAGTGTCACTATTAAAATTGTTATGTAAATAAACTGATGGGCAGTTGGGCACATTTAAATATTTGTATATAAAATTAATTTGATAAAAGAAAAAGTTTACTACTCACTTGTCTTTTGTGAGTGTACAGCCTTGAATATCACTTAATGTGAAAGGCATTTATTCAGAGAGACATATTGAAGATACTAGCTGTAACTTCATATCATATTAAAATATACCAGTAATAGCTAAACATGTTCAAATAAAATCTCATTTAGGTGCAATATTGTTATGGTAAAAATTGTAAGAGAAGCAATACAAATGGCACTAACACCTATTTAAAATAATAATAAAAAATGTTAGTCATGTCCTGTAATATTCGCACAGAAATACTGAATTTAACATGTTATATGTTCACTCTTACAATGTCCATGACTATTTGCACTTAACCGTTATCATTTATGGATGATTTCTCATGTCAGTCTTTTATACTTAAGTCCATGCACTTGAATGACTTTTAGAAAGCACATCTGGAGAAGGTGAAAAGTACAGTGGTTGTGCTTATATTAAGAAAGAAAACTCTACTATAGGGCATCCTCTCATCACTCATGCACTGAACATACTGCCAACACACTACAGAACAGGTTTATTTTGCAATTTGTGACACTTGTTTCAGTGTCAGATGTTAAATTTGAGCAGTTTATATAAGTTCAATGGCTACTCCTTACTTTCTTCTTCAGAAACATCAACCCAGTCTTATTTTCTTGTTTTCTAAGAACTAGAGGAGCAGGACCCCTCATATCCTTATATTCTGTCAGCAATCTATTAAATGTTACTGGACTATCTTGAGTATCAGGAGTAAAAGGAAAGAAGAAGAAAGATGGAGGAAGAAATCAGTACAGCACCAAAATCCATCTCGGCTGTAAAGAATTGAAAAACAATGCGCTCTCACTCACAAGCTGCATTTTAAATAGGCTCTCAGCATCTCAGGTGTATATTATCTCATATTAATCAACCTGGTTACTGCTTACCACAGGGGCAGGCAATTATTTCAGGCAAAGGGCCGCTTCCCCGGTTTTGCCAGGCTGTTGAGGGCTGCATGGGTAGCCCCGCCCCTTGACAGGTGCCCCAGCCCTTGACAGGTGCCCTGCCCCCTGGCTATCTTGGGACCAATGTCCCAGAACCAGCACTGGTGGGGCCCAAATCGGGGCACAGGCTGGAAGGGGTCCGAGGAGCTGGGCTGGGCTGCACCAGCAGGGAGAGGGGGGAGCTGGGCCGGCTCCAGAGCCCCTGCCAGCTGGGACCCCATGCTCCTGCCATCCTGCTCTGGGCCCCGCCAGCACTGACCCCGGGACATCAGTGCGGGTCCCCTGTGCTCCCCACTTCCTCTCTGCCCACTCACACCCAGTGTCCCCCAGCCCCATGGTACAGGTGGGGGGCAGCACACAGCCCCAATCCCCTGCTTGCCAGCAGGGAAGAAGCTGATGCTGAGTGCAGGGAAAAGCAGCCCCTTGCCCACCCCATGGCTGGAGCTCGCAGCCTGCGTGGGGCTGTCCTGAGCAGGCACAGGCAGTCCCAGGCTGGCTGCGAGTGACTGCAGCGTGGGGCACTGGCCACACGGCAAGTGAGGGGCCGCTCTTCCCTACCAGGCTGGCAGTGGGCCAGGTTACAAGCTGGTGCTGAGCACAGTGAGGGGAGAAGCAGCCCCTCGCCCGCCTGATGCCCAGTGACCCCGCTACAGCCACTTGCAGCCAGCCTGGGGCTGCCTGTGCCTGCTCCGGACAGCTCTGTGTGGGCTGCGAGTGCCTGCAGCAGGGAGCGCCGGCCATGGGGTGGGTGAGGGGCCCCTTCTCTCCGTGCAGGGAAGGAGCCCGGGGAAAAGCTGAGCGCGGGGGGAAAAGCGGCTCCTCCCCCGCCCCATGGCCGGCGCTCCCTGCTGCAGCTACTTGCAGCCCGCACAGGCTGTCCAGAGCGGGCACAGACAGCCCCATGCAGGCTGTGACCAGCTGCAGCACGGGGCACCGGCCATGGCGTGGGGAAGGGGTTGCTTCCCCCACGCTCCTTCCCTGCCCAGGGCCCCCCGCCCTTCTCCCCCCTACACACTTACCTGCGGTTCCAGCGCCGGGCAGCCACGTGTTCCCAGACCAGAAGCCCCGGCTCGGGCTTCTGGCTGGAGAGGCGGGGCCGGGTGGTTGTTGGAGTCCGCCGGGCTTCCCCTGGGTCCTACTGCCCTTGGTTCCTGTCATTTTTGACAGGAACAAAGGGTAGATGAATATTAATTTTCTAAATTTTTCAGGGGCCCCGTGGGCCAGATCTGGCCTGCAGGCCATATTTTACCCACCCCTGGCTTACCAGCACAATAGGAGTTTTAAAAAGCACTCAGTTGAGCCAATACACACTAGACAACAGTTTGAAATATGCAGGGACGAAAGCATTATCAGGAAAAAAAAACTAATAATTTACTTGGTTGTCATGTCAATAAAGACCTTGCTTATTCTGAAAATCACAGAATTTCACTACATATTTCTGTAATTTTTATTTTCTAATGGTCAGGGCAATGGAAGCATTTTCACTGGCTAGTAGGAATTCAAAGCAGCCATCTCTGGTTGAGATTCACTATCCTACAAACAAAACAAAAAACCCCCCAAACACAGCAAAAAAGATATATCCAGCTTGAAAAATTAGGGTATTTCTTTTCACAATTTCTAGTTGATGTAAAATAAACCAATGCATTTGAGAGTACTTAAGGGGTAAGGTTTTAATTTCTGCTTAAAAGGCAGACATGATGTTCTTGTTGAAGAAGAGGGCATGAAGTGAGAGGATATATTTACAAAATAAAAAATCCAACAGCCCAGACAATGAAAAATGACCAAAATGTTGCCTCCAGAAGATCTTAGCACTTACTATGTGACACAGAAGTACCCCCGTCAATTTACAGGGAGAATTTAGGGCCTGCCTGAAATCACAGGGAAAATGACTAAGTTTCAGAAACAGAAACAGAAACATGACACAGGAAGACTTTCCTTAACATCTGAGGTGTGACCATTAACATCTGACTTGCCTTAACTAAGCATATTAAGAAGATTTAATATTATTACCATAGGCCATAGGGACATATATTAAGCTTCCTTCTTCCAAGGTGGGGATGTGGGGATGCCGTCACGAAGGCCAACCGTACCTTGTCATGCATCCACAGATGCATCTCAAGCAGGTCCAACGAGGTGATACTCCCCCTCTATGCGGCACTGGTCAGGCCGCAGCTGGAGTACTGCGTCCAGTTCTGGGTGCCGCACTTCAAGAGGGATGTGGATAACATGGAGAGGGTCCAGAGGAGGGCCACTCGCATGATCAGGGGGCAGCAGGGTAGGCCCTATCAGGAGAGGCTAGGGGACCTGAACCTGTTCAGCCTCCACAAGAGAAGGCTGAGGGGAGATCTAGTGGCCTGTTACAAACTAGTCAGAGGGGACCAGCAGGCACTGGAGAAGTCCGTGTTCCCCCAAGCATTGCCAGGAGTGACCAGGAATAACGGTCACAAGCTGGCAGAGGGTAGATTTAGGCTAGATATCAGGAGGTGCTACTTCACGGTCAGGGCGGCTAGGATCTGGAACCTACTTCCAAGAGAAGTGGTGCTGGCTCCTACCCTGGGGGTCTTTAAGACAAGGCTAGACAATCACCTTGCTGGAGTCATTTGACTCCAGTAATCTTTCCTGCCAGGGCAGGGGGTTGGACTAGATGATCTACTCAGGTCCCTTCCGACCCTAGAAACTATGAAACTAAGGTTTATAGGCTGGGGACTACGTAACAAACAGGTCAAAGCAAAAGCTGTGAGCAATCAATATGACCCGCGCAGCCCAACATGCCATCTCAAGCAAATAAGTTTTTGGGTCTCTCAGTACCGCATCTTATATATATTAACATGCTGAGAAAAGCATTACCGAATTAGCAAAGGGGTTTTTTTTGTTTGCTTTTTTTTAGAAAGGGAGAGAAAGTTTACAGATTTGCCCATTTTGAACCATGACTTCATTGCTTGTTTACTGCATTGGCACATTTACCTTTCCCCTACCAATACAAACCCAAACATCCCCTAGAAAAGGTTACTGAATTATTTAATAAAAGGGTCATCAGATGAAAAGTCAAACTGAGGCCCATTTTATTTAACTGTGCCAGCTTTAAGATACGTAGTTAAACAATCAGACGTTGGCTATTTAATCAGTCAGGCCACAAGTTCATTTGCTGGACATTAAAAATAAAATCCAAATAAAATTAAAGCTTTTCTCAACTGTAATCTGGGAAAGTACTAACAGTAAATTCTTTTTAAGTATCTGTTTCTGAAGCTAAGACTGAATATTGCTTAACTGTATGTTGTCTCAACAAAAATATATGTAGGCCGACTTAAGACATGCTTAAACATTCCAGAAAGAGAATAAAATATTTCTTCAGCAAAGCATAATGCAGGGATCTCATTATCTATCTTTGGGAAATCCATAATGTATTACAGGTACAAAATATGCATGGTACTGTTTCAGCTTTTCATGTTGCAGCATGTGCTCATGAGCAGAGCAGTTGATCTAGTAGAAACAGGAATAATCTCTACAAATACAGACAAAAGTCTTGCATGCACACTGGAGCACATTATCAAGTCAGAAATGTACAGAGAACCAATAAATGGAAAGGAAACGAAAAGGATATATTATTGGGTTTAAAAAGAAACCAACTAGATGTGTTTGGCATTATCTTCCTTTTCCCACCTGAAGTCCTACTAGCATGTATATATTTTATAATAATGCCTTACTAGAACTTAGAGAGTTTAGAAACAATGGGAGGAAAGGAAAATGCACGGGCATGTGCACGCTGGCTTCTAGGTCACTGCGTATGCCAAGTATGTCATAAAATTAAATTCTGCAGGAAGTAAAACCACCAGCAGCCAATTTAATTGCAAAAGCCAAATAACTTAGAACAAGGTATCATATTCCTTAAGTGGAAAAATGGATTATCTTGGCAAATAATTCTTGGTTTAAATAATCTGAAATGCAGTACATGTGAAAAAATGTTTTAAACCTAAAAAAAAAAAGATAGATGACCATCTCCTTTGGTTATTTCTCATCATGTGACCCAAGATTGTTATATGTCAGACAAGCCAAATTAAATTTCCAAATAAACGTGTATAATAAAATACTAATTATTACCTGTAGTGCAGGTAAAGTTAGAAATTTCCCTGGCAATCTAAAATGTAAAAATGCATTCATCAAATACTAAAACAAAATAGAAAATAAAAATTATATGGCCTTCCAGGACTGATAACTAGAGTTGCTTGGAGCTTCTTTGTTTCTCTCACTTTCCCCAGAAAAAGTACCCCATTTATATCATTCTGAATGTAGGAAGAGATATTCAACGGCACCAACCTTAGTTAAGTGCCTACCTCCCAGACTTATTAGGCATTTGAAAATCTTCACCATAATGTACAATTTTAACATATGGCTGTTAGATATTGGACACCTGGAACATTATAATCGCAATTATATTATTTTGTTTGTCCAAATTCAAATCATAACTAAAACTATAACACTTCTCAATTTTGCCTGCCAAGAGAAACAGTATTATAAAATTATTTTAATACCTAACTGGATTGAATTAATCCACATAAAAAAAATAAACCAAAATATAGACTCACAGGGTAAATCCTCTGGAAATAACTTCTGTCTCCTGAATGAGTCGCAGAGCTTTTCTCACAAGATTAGTGAAAGCTCGGCTGTGTGCCACTGTGTCTTCCAGCTGGAGACTGTATTTTCGCAGGGACATTTGTAGTTTCGCTGTCCTCCAAGTGCCCCACACTCGTACAACCACATAGACTGAAAGAATGAGTCCCCACACTGGCCAAAATGACCAACTCCACCAAGAAGGAAGCACAATAAATGCACTGACAAAGGCAAGCAGCAATGAGACATCCCTGAAAACAGAAAAACAGAGAAAGTGCCATCTATCATAGATTCCTGGGGTTAAGCAACTGGGAAAATCACGAGGCTCTTGACTACAAGTGTTTACATATGGTGAGGTGGTCATGCTGGAGGGGAGGGACAGAATCCAGCTAGATCTAGACAGGTTACAGAGGTGGGCGGATGACAATAGGATAGAATTCAACACAGACTAGTGCAGGGTACTATATCGAGGGAGAAGGTACAGGCTGGACATCAGGAGACATTACTTCACAGTTAGGGCTGCCAGGCACTCGAATGGGCTCCCAAGTGAGGTGGTACTCTCTCCTGCATTGGGGGTCTTCAAGAGGAGGCTAGACAGATATTTGGCTGGGGAGATATGACCATGGCACCCAATCCTGCCAGGGGCAGGGGGTCGGACCTGATGATCTGTTTAGGTCCCTTCTGACCCTAAGTATTGTGAAACACACCTATAGGCTGGGGAACACCCTTCTTGTCAATACGGTGGCAGAAAGGGATCTTGGAGTCATTGTTGACTCCAGAATGAACATGAGCCACCAATACGAGGAAGTGGTTAGTAAGGCTAACTGCACCTTGTCATGCATCTACAGATGCATCACAAGCAGGTCCAGGGAGGTGATCCTTCCCCTCTATGTGGCATTGGTCAGGCCACAGTTGGAGTACTGCGTCCAGTTCTAGGCACTGCACTTCAAGAGGGATGTGGCTAGCATTGAGAGGGTTCAGAGGAGGGCCACTCGCACGGTCAAGGGGCTGCAGAGCAGCCCTACGAAAGAAGCTAAAGGGCCTGAACCTATTCATCCTCCACAAGAGAAATTTGAGAGGGGATCTGGTGGCAAACTCACCGGGGGGGGGGCAGTGGGAATTGGGTGAGGCTCCGTTTCCCTGGGCACCACCCAGGGTTACTAGCAATAACGGGCACAAATTGTTAGAGAGAAGGTTCAGGCCGGACATCAGGAGACATTACTTTACAGTTAGGGCTGCCAGGCTCTGGAATAGACTCCCAAGTGAGGTGGTACTTTCTCCTACCTTGGGGGTCTTCAAGAGAAGGCTGGACAGATATTTGGCTGGGGTGATATGATCCTGGCACCTGTTCCAGCCCGGGGCAGACCTGATTATCTGTTTAGGTCCCTAAGTACTACGATACTATGATTTCATTAAAGACCTTTTACATGGGCTCTGAGGATAGGTGTAAACAGGGACAAGGTCACTAAATGGCAGATTTATATTTGAGGGGTTTTTGCATGAATTTATTTTGTCCATAGAACTAAGAAATGTAAGTGGAAAAGTAACACATCATTTTGAAGGGTTAATATTTTAAACCTGATTTAGAAATAACTGATTGCTCAGTATTAAGAGAAAGGATGGGTGGGAATTGTAATATCTGTACTTTCAGGTTCAACAGGACAGAGGGAGGGGCATTTTTCTTTAGGTAACCAAACCCTCAAAGTAACAATAGTTTTATTGTTGCAGATTCTGACTCATTTAAACTGGACACTATACACTGAAAAGTCTCAACAAGTCCTGGATATGTAAAACATTTTATGCAACCATGACATTTTTTTTTAATTACATGGAGAGTAAGGGCTGAACTCTCACTTCAAGTACATACCAAATCAATTTTTGAATTCTGAAAAATTGCCATTTTCCTACAAAGTTTTGGCAGAAGTATGAATCTCTATTAGAAAAACACAATGTGAGCTTTTGGAATTTTGTAGTATTATAAATAGTTCAAGCTCCAAAATCACTTCAAAGTATTTATGAGCGCTGGCCAGAAAATGGACCTCAATTTCTGCAAAATGTTGTAAGTTTTTAGATTTTCTCTCCCAGAATGGGATGTGCACTATAGTTTGTTTCAGAAATGCATGCTGGTAAAGTTTTGGTGTTTCCAAAAGAAATATTACCTCCAAACTCCCAGCTCCTTGGCAGTTGGGAGCCTTGAAATCTTAGGTTCAGTGAAGCCCATCCAGCAAGCAGCTGACAAGCCAGAGAAGATGGGAGCCAAAAGACCTGAGCTCCCCAAAATGCAGGCTGCTTATCTGCATAAAGCAGATTTAAATTCCTAAAAAAAAAAATTTCCCCCCCAACTATTTAAGTTGGTCTAATAAAAGATATCAGATTCACCCAAATAACCTTGTCTGCCTATGTCCTTAGACCAACACGGCTATAACCTACACCCCTGAAACGTAGAAGTGTTCATTTAATTTCTGCTGGGAGAAACATGCTCCTCTTAGGAGAAAGATCTTCCAGGTGTCAATTCAGATCTCCCCTGCGAGAGAAACTCTCTTGTAAGAATGAATGTTTGTATGCTCCCCTCCCTCTCTGGTCTGGGAGGAGACTGAAACAGCAGAGCAAAACTCCCCTCCACTGCGGTCAAGTAGGATTGGGCCCCAGCTGGGCCATTCCCACATAGATGCATCATGCCCCAGCCCCAGGCAGCTGCACTAGACCCCATGTAGTCCAGCACTACATACTGGAAAGGATCCATGGGCCAGTTCTGGCCTACAGATAGACCTGTCACTGCTTAAAGGTTGGGCACCACTGCTGTAGGGGCCTAATTTAAAATACACCATTTAATATAAAGGATTTACTTTGACTCTTGAGCAATCTTCAACCAAGACTCTCACCTAAAAAGCCTAAAAAAACAGGCTTTTCAGAGTGTTCAAGAAATTAATAAACCTAGATCTGGCAGACCAAAGGGGAGTCAAGATGCAGAAGTCAAGAACTTTAAAAAAGCATTTTTTTGTGATGTCTGTTGCACTAAGAGCAGGCTGATAGTATCCCCTGACAGTATGTGCAAGTAGTCATAGGCGTTTTCTGAATTGTACCAAATATTAGGAGTTGCTAGGGAGCGTAGAGTTGGAAGGTGTCCATTTTCCTGTTGCTTGCTCTGCCCTCCAGACAGGATACTGGGGTCGAGCAGCTCAATTAGTTCCACATCCTCCTGTAGCAGAACTTCCTGTTGCAGGATAGTCCGGAGTGCATCAAGTCGAAATCCAACATCCTTACCAGGAATGGGCAAGAGAAATAAGAGGGAACAGACACTCTAAGATTTATTTTTTGAAAGAAAAACAAACACACACCTTTTTTTTTTTTCACTTGCTTGCTGTCCTGCTCTTGAAGACTCCAGGGTTTTAGAAACAGCTCAACTGGCTATCTTTAATGGTCTTTCCTTCTAAAAACCTCTTCTGCCATCTGAATGGTCTGATTTTTCAAGATGCATTGCACTGAATTTGTGTACTGGCCTTAAACATGGAAAATGTGGCTGAATTGGAAATATGCCACAGGTAGTATTTTCACAGAAATGAGTTCAGGCACTAGAAATTATTAGAAGAGAGACTGAATTAAACTGCAATCTACAATGTCTTGTTTTAATAAACAAATTAAAGAGATTTAGATGGTGATGTACACATCAGTCAGTTTTAAAAAATGGCTGTAGACCAGCTAACAATGCCAGGGTCAATATGCTGGAATCAGATTTCCTCACCCAGAGCACTGGGATGCTCCAGGAGAGAAATGCACAGCCTTTCAAAAGGGAACTTTGTAAAAAATGAAACAGCATTTTGGGTGGTCCCAGTGATTTAATGCTATTTATACTTTCTTACCTGTAACCAGAACACTATGACAAATCTATGTCTATACTACCTACAAAAGTAGCTCTAAAATTCTAATTCATACATTGGACTAACTAATAATGTCACAAGTTTTACAGTTAAGGGAGTGTTCAGATACAACATAATGAAAATTTAACATCAACATGTCTCTATGTCAGATTATAAATTCGAAAGGAGAAAATGCTTCTATTTTGCAGCTTCCTCAGTTAGAAACGTTAACAAACCTTGAGGATTTTGTCCTTCGCATTAGTAAAAGCTTCCTAGTTTTTAAGCTGATTAGCACAATTTCACATTGAGAAAATGGAATTTTCAGGCATCAGGAAACTAGCTAGTCAAAGACCTTAATTCTGAAAATCAATTATACCCTCTATAGCCTAAAGCAGGGGCCTAGGCAGCCTTGACTCTTCTCTCCACCCCCCAACACACACACACCCTGCACTGGGTGGTGTAACAGCTGTGAAAGGCCCTGCACCCACCACTGGGGGTGCTGGACAGAGTGGGTGGGCAGGTGGGATCTCCATGGAGATCCCACCTTGCCTGGGACCCCCACAGGCAAGGCACAATTGGCTAGGAGCAGCACCCAGGAGCAAGACAGGCAAGCAGGACTGGGCTGGGATTGCAAGGTGGTGGCAGTGCCGGGTCAGGGCCTGGGATGGAGCCACAATCTGCTTCCTGCATGTCCCTGCTATGGGCACCAGTTTGATTTGGTGGTCAAGCACCAAATCAGTGAGAGAAAAACACACCAGATCCATCACTTTTTCTTAGCCCCTTACAAAGTCCTTTACCATTTGGCATTATGGAGTAAGCCAAAATGGCATACAAATTTAACTTGCACAGAAGTCTTCCTGTGGTTTAGTATAAAGCCACACATGCACTTACCTCCCACAAAAACTCGCAGTGCACAGGACATGTGCAGTGGGACTTTTTGGGTGCTTTGGCCCTCCAGCTGCCACAAACAAGTTTAGGGGCCACAGCTTGTCACAAATTATAACATACTTCAAGATAAAAAAAGATACAAATGGGGCACAAAGATACTGGGGCACAAAGATACTGTTCAACTGCCCTCCCAGTCTGTATGCCATGCTCAGTTATGGCAACAGGATAATGCATGACCTACATGTTTTTTCAGTTTCCATGTTGGAAAAGATGCTTGCTAATTGCGAGACAAATTTGAAGACCCATTCTTGTAAATGAGAAGCAGAGTCATTTCTGATGTGACAAGTGACGTTACATCTAAAACCAGATCTAAATTGTCTGGACACAGTGTATAAGTGATATAATAAGCTGTCCGTACCTCTTTTTACAGCCAAACTGCAACAAAAGACTGGGCAATACATTCACTTTCTTTAGCCTTTAAACAACAATTCTGGTATTTTGACACCCTCCCTTTTGTACCTAGCTAGCTTGGCATTGTTCCCCCAAAATGATGTAGCTTCAAACTGTTGAGTTCAAAACATAAACTGATAATTACGTCTGCAGTGATCAGGACTGCTGACTAGCACTGAATGCAACAAAAGAGAGATCATGGAGGGGTCCAAGAAAGAGGGGTAGGGAACATGATATGAGGCCTGGTGAAGAAAAAAAAATAAAATTAATTACTTACCAGTTGGTAGAGTATGTCATCTTTTTTCTTACATGGTGAAAAAGGAAACCAGCTTCTGAAGAGTTCAGGTAGTTTTGAGAGGGTGCCTTGCTAAAAAGGAATAGAATACAACTCCAATTGAAACAACAAACACACAACAATTCCTGTATTTTCTTCTATTGCTATCTCTGAGTGCCAAGAACCTGACAGTGAGTGAAAACTATCATCTGGCTGAACTGCTGTGTATGCTTAAAGGGACATCAGCTTCTGCTCATTGAAATTTTTGTCTGCATGCAGAACGGTGACAAAGTCTTCATTAACCCCATCTTTTCAGAGTACTATAAATGTTGCATTGTTGAAAGCAAATATAATTAGGATTAATCTGATCTAGGGGCTGACGCTGCTGCCTGAGCCTGAAAGATTCTCTCTATCCTCGAGGTTAAAAATGAACCAAGTAGAATTAAATAGCAAAGAGCAGGAGTGGGCAATTATTTTGGCTGGATGGCTGCTTAATGAGCTTTAATGAGCTCTCAAGGTCCACAAGGGTAGCCCCACTCCTTGAGACTTGCCCCGCCCCCCATCACCATCCTGGGACACTATGTCCTGCCCTAACCCCTGCCCTTTGTCACCAGAAGTCCTTCCCCTATCCCCGAAAAGTACCTCTTTTGGGAGAGGGGTTTGCTATCTTGGATCTGGAAAAAGAACAAATCATATAATGCAAATCAAATAACTGCTATAACGTATTTTAATTTTATTTAAAAAAAATACTTTTGTCCCGATTTGTGTGTTTGCATAGAGTATATAAAGGCAATTGCATAATTGCTCAAAATAAAGTCTCACTGTTGTACATTGTGTGGGTGTGGGATTCATGTGGGGTACGTGCATCGGTGGGTGTGGGTGTGTGCATGTGGGGGAAAGTGTGGGTGTGTACGTGGGGGATGTGTGGGGGCTACAGGGATGTGTGTGGGTATGGTGGGGTGTGCATGTGAGCCCTCCCCCACGTGCCTCCCCCCATCACGCACGGTCCCTGCCACCAGTGGCAGCAGCAGACAGTGGGCCCTTGGAGCATTCACAGCCCTTACCAGGCAGAGCCCCATAGAGGCACGCAGCTCTGTTTGAGCCCTGGGACCTGCACATGGTGGCAGGAACCAGTCTGGTTCCATCACATGGGGACTCCCTGGGGCACCTATGCAGCTCCCAGGACTCAGCTAGAGCTGCTTGCCACTGGGGGAGTCTCACACAACGGAACTGGTGGCCTGGCCCCACTCCCTGATGCCACATGCAGCTCCCAGGAATTGGTCGGGGCAGCCGGGAGAGGGGCCAAGCTGGCTCAGGTCCACTGTGTGGAGGGTTTCCCACCACTCTCAGTTGAGTCCTACATGATGGAGCTAGGTTGGCCCTGCACTCCTGAGCCCGGGTCCTGTGCTTTCGCCACCCCAGGGTCTGCACTCCCACCACTCCTCCCCAAGCTCCTGCCTGGCTGCAGCTTCTCCCCCATCTGCTGCCCAGAGCACTGCAGCAAGAACAGGAGGAGCCACTGGAGGCCAGGGGAGCTGAGCTGTTTCCTGGGTGGCTGCAGCAGTGGTAGCAGCATCCCGCCTGGAAGCTGTGCATGCTGGCTGGAACTGAGGCTGGGTTTGGGGCCCTCCCATGGACAAAGGTGGGAGTGTAGCCTGCTGTCCTAGCAGGAGTGGGTGGAGCTCGGCCCCATGCGGAGTACAGCGGGGGCAGTCACAGCCTGGGTTGGATACAGTTAATTGGTGGGTGCCCATCCACAGGCTGGATGAAATCACTTGGTGGGCCGGACCCAGCCCATGGGCTATATTTTACCCAGCTCTGGCTAAGAGGAAAACAAGGGAAATAAAAAAATTGGGTAAGAGGAGCAATTCAAATGCCATATCTAAAAGAAGGGGGATCAAGTGTGTTCTAATGAATACCGAGAGAGGTGTTGGGACACAGTGACCACATTTGCAATAACCATTCCAGAAGTTCCATGTCATAGTAGCATTAGGAATGATACACTCTTATCACTATGCTATATCATATGTAAACTAAGACAGGATTTTAGCTGAGCTGTAAACAAACATAACTTGAACACCTCTAATTAGACAAAGCCTTTCTCTGTCATCATGGATTTTAAATAACAAGTATTCATTTAAAACATAACCCAAAAATATCATAATTAAATGGATGCAGGATCTTGCTTGACCTTGCAACCATTTAATTATAAAAAAATAAAGCTAGATGCTTTCAATACTGTATTGAAAACAAAACATGAAGGGATGAAAACTAAAAGTATCCTCTCTACAAAGGGTTAATAATTGGTGGGGAGTAAATGAAGATATTTTCACTGCATTTAGTAGTATAATGGAGATTTAAGTTAGAGTGGATGTTCCTTTATTCACTACAATTCTAGTGCAACTTATTTATTACTTAAATTTGTGCTTTAAGGACAACAACATTAATTTAAAACTTTCATCTTTTTCTGTTGTCAGTTATTGCTTGTAGACACTTAAATGAATACTAAGGACAATTTTAAACTGCTACCTGCTGACTAATGTAATCTGTTGAGCTATTGACAAAACCAGCTTAACATGCAACACTAGTGATTTGTCAATTTGTGTGTCATATTTTGGTTTTATGGAAAAATGTGAACTTACAAAAACATAAGACAGACATGCCAATGCCTGAAAATACAAAACAAGACAACCCACTGCTTTGGACTATGAACCAGTGGTATGCAGTAACACATTAAATTATTCATGCATCTTGGCATGATGTCTTATAGCTTTTATTCCCACAGGGGGTGTTACTGACAAGTAAAACTGTTTTCATTAACATACAAGTCAGGTCATGTTGCCTTTGATGCCTCTTGAGTATTCTTTTAACTACTTTAGAACAAAGTCATTCACAGACTCTTTGTAAACTGTGTAACAAAATATATACCCCCTCTATTTTTAATAGTGACATGGGTGCCTATTGCCTACAGTCCAGCATAGGCATGCTTTCATGTATGTTCATTTAAATCCAAATAAAATATTTACAGTTTTCTTTTTCTATGAACTGAAGATGACAAACTATCACGCATTCAGAGTACCTTGCATTAATATAGTGTCTTTCGTTCAAATAACAAAGTGAAGCTCTGGATAGGTTACTACTACCTACTACCAGAACAGTTTCATATTGGAGGTAAAATGTGATGCTGCACTTTAAAAGCGCTCGGCAACATACAAAACAATTCAGGAAAAGAAGTACATTAGAGGAAATTTAAATGAGCTATAGATCAAATGTGTTTACCCAAATTAGAATTAAGCCAGAAAACTGGGGATAGGAATCTGGAAAGTGCCTTTGTATTTCAAATAACTAGAGAATCAGGATTTTTTATTTAAATCCCTTCAACGAATGAATGGACAAGGTGCACTGTGCCCATAAGTTTGATACAAAGGCACGGCCTAGTGTTGACTCAGAAAGAAGAGTAGTAGCATTTATTTTATTTAATATACTATTTCCTGAAGCACCTAGGAATTTACTGGAATCTGAATTTAATCTAGGTACTTACTCATGTACCAGTTGAACAAAGTATTTAAATGTCAGTTGAAAATTAAACATAGGCTGCATTGCTGCTCTTGACTGTGCTTGAAAGAAATAAGGGATAAGGAAGTGTTGCCTGCAGATTTTTAATCAACCAAAAAAAAAAAGTTCCACCCCCCATATAAGTCACCTTTTCTAGATACCTGTTTTTGGGGAAATCTGTCCTACCAGGTCACATTAGATCAGTGCTTCCATCTGATTGAATAGCACAGGAGAGAAATTCTTAACTCTTAGTTCTTCTCTACTGGGCTCAGTAATACTATAGTTTTTGAAAGGGATCTTCTCTTTGTTGATCAGCCAGACAGGTGGCAGTATTTTGCAGAGAGTGCTGTTGTCCTCCCTGTGAAGAATTTAATATTCTCCTTTTGCAGACAGTTAGTCATGCATTTAGTGCGTCACATAGCAGGTGGCAGAAAGCCAATTTCAGAGGCTCTTGTAAGAGTTACTGTAGCCTCTTGGAGAAAGAATCAAGCAGTTGGAACACAAACCTATTTCTGGTGTCTGGGTGTTTTGAAGGAGTCAGTTGGCATCACACAGATGGAATACCTTGGCCCATCCGCCATTCCGTTTTGGTGACATCACCGTGTCTCCAAATTGCTGATCTGGCTTGTCATCAGATGATTTTTTTTTAAATTTAAGAGACACAAACATCTGCTTTTGCACCACATGCAAGACAAATGTACCCCCAGGGCTTGGAGAGAACAGAATGCATATAATGGGCATTACTCCCCACATTTGCTCCTCCTTTCATATGTACATTATTTGTGTCTCAATAGCCTTCAAATAAGATCAGGACTCTTGTAAGTGAAATGCTATACATTCTTAGAGACAGTCCTCACTTGCAATCGCCACAGGCTACACAGGCAAAGGGTGAGAGAAAGAAAGTTTTATGGTTCCATTTTATAAATGATAAACTGACTCTCAGAGAAATTAAGTGACTTGCTCCACATCACACAGAAATCAGGGTCTTAGAGACTTGTTTCCTTAGTCCAGTGCCTTAACCATAAAAATCAGCCTTCCTCTTACTTCACAGACTGACAAAAAGCCAATTCTCTCAAGATTTTACTAAAGTAGGAAGCAGAAGCAAAAAATCACAGACTTTCTGGTGTCTGAGGGCAACTGAAGTTTCAAAGCAAGTACTAATGATGAAGAATTAGACTGACTTATATTCCTGATATCCTGCAACTCCAGCAGATCAACATCTGAGTTTCTTCTTTTATTGCTTGCATTCCCTTATCTGAAGACTGAGTTGAAACAAAGTGCACATAATTCAAGTGTCTGTGTTCCAGACATCTGATATTTGTACACCCTCTACCTGTAACTACCAAAAACCCAAGATCAATTAATTGTACTGCTGACAGTGCCAAAAGGAGGAGTTCCTATGCTTCAGGAAAGGAGATGGAAAGAAACATACTTGGGGATTTTAAAACCACACACATGTAAATTCCTGTAAGGTCCTAAAGCTACAGTTTTTCTTGTGTTAAATTAAATGGAAATTACATATATACATGGCAACAGAC